AAATACCAATACATCGTTAATTATCTACTATCTAGTACGGTTGACTGTTGGGTATTAAATACCAATACATCGTTAATTATCTACTATCTAGTACGGTTGACTGTTGGGTATTAAATACCAATACATCGTTATTATCTACTATATGGTACGGTTGACTGTTGGGTATTAAATACCAATACATCGTTATTATCTACTATATGGTACGTCAATTACGTGTGAAAAGACGATTTAATATATAAGACGTAAATTAAAATGAAATAGCTAACTGACCCAGTTAAGCCTAATGGGATCATTTTAGGCCTATAACAAATTAAATTAAATTAAATATTCATCTGTATTCTTCGATTATGATATTCAACGGCTTACCTGTCAGTTTACTACTACTTTAGCATAGTAAGTGTTACAGTAATTATTATTATTAGTTGACTTACGTGGAACCTTAGTTTCTGTTGTACACTCGGCGGCAGATAACAACACAGTTTGTCAATCAGAGGGATAATTAATTTTGGATCTACATCTTCTGGATTTTGTAACCCTATACACAATTAAAAGTGTAAAACAACTAAGGCCAACGTCGTTTCCATTCAGATTAAAGAATAATCTTCAAACTTAATAATTATCTCAATCAGAATTGATTTAGATTTTGTTTTCAATCAATTTCGCCAAACCTCGTGATTTTCAATTTTGTTACTTTATCAATAAAAATAAAAATATCGTCCTAATATTTTATTACTTAATATATCATACAATGCAATCACTAGTATATTTTCTAATAACACGGTGAAATATTATTTGCTACTGTTATCTTATCGAATAATATGATAAAGTAATAAAAATTACACTCTGTTGCTATTTTGATAGTGTAAAACTTCAACACTAGATGGCAAAAGTAATAAGATTAAGTGAGTGGTCTTACCGGTAATCAAACTTGCCAAGAGACCCACGATGACGACCACGACACATGCCAAAGCACTGAACCACATGTACGACAGTCGATAAAATTTAAATATATCGGCACTACATAAAAAAGTCAAAACAACGTGACTGGAAATATGTGAAAGAAACAATATTTTAATCTTTACTGATTTTTCTCGGGTCTTCATCTGTCTAGTGTCTTAATTATTATTGATAAAGACCTGACAGAGAGATAAAACAAACGTCCACAAAACAGTCAGCAATAAGTACACACCACGCAGATGAAGACTGGAAAAAAAAAGTGTCTCTAGAAAGCGTAAAACTACAAAATTGTTCTCGTAACTTGGAAAGGACAATACCAAACCTTGTTAGAAAAATAGACAGTTAAAGGCTCCAATGCAAATAACTGTTGCCGAAGCTGAATAGGGTTAGCGTATTGTTACGTCTCTGGTCGTTAGTTAATTTTCCGTAAACATTATTTCCGAAGAAACTTTAGCGATACAAGTCCTTTCTTAAATAAAACTAGTTTATTCTTTCTCAATACAACTTTGCAATAAACTTAATTTCCACAGTCACGCTATAACTTAAACGCTATAATCCACAACGAACGAACGATTCACGCGCTTGACTCAATTGTCGTCTCTATCTCTGTCTGCAATTCAATTACATTGTTGCCGTCAGTTCTTGGCGGTCTTATATACAAGAATACCACATATCTAGTAAACACTCGAGACTTCAGGAAGGGACATGAATTTTCTAGAAGCTCATGACGCGTTACTAGGGTCACGTGACTACCGCTGTCGTAACAGTATGAAAGTTTGTCTTGGAGGGAAATATTCAGAAGTAGGATGAGTTAAAATATCAACTTTGTTATTTTTTAAGATGTGTAGGCCTCCTTCAGATTCTTTTCTAACTTTACTAATGCAACATCATCTACAATTTATACTATATCTTCCCATAACAACAACTTAAAATTAAGCCCGTAGCCGGGGGAGGGGGTGCTAACGAACCCCCACTCCCGCAGGAGTTCCGCTCGTCTGTTAAATTTTTTTTGTCCCTTTTTTTGATGATGGCCTATCATTATATAATTGGTTTTGTAAAACTGGGCGTTTATGTGGAAATAACATTTTCATATTTATTGGAAGAAATTTACTAGAAACGTTTATTTACAATGAAAATAAAGAAGCCATTTTACATATTTCGGATATTATTTTTTCGTTCCTGGTCACTAAAGTAACACATGAAAACAGTTCCAGACCTGGCTACGAGCTTAGTGCAATGCATTATAACATAACAACTTACTTCTTAATTGCTGGAGCCACAGTGCTGGCTAAAACGGCAGTTCCATTGTGGCAGCTTGATATCGAAAAAGGAAGTTTCGGAACACTTGGCTTATGACTAAAACTTCCAAATCCAACCCAAAAAGATATTACCAATCCAGAGATTAAGCCAATAATTGCACCCTACATATAAAAAAAGTTGATGGATTAACATGTGCTAATAATAATATGTCCCAAAAAAGATATTACCAATCCAGTGATTAGGCCAATAATTGCACCCTACATATAAAAACAAAGTTGGTGGATTAACATGTGCTAATAATGCGTTTATTTTAAAATTGTTGGAGTAACACGTGCTAATAATGTGCATATGTTAAAACTGATGGATTAACGCGTGCTAATGATGTGTTTATATTAAAATTGATGGATCAACATGCGCTAATGATGTGTTTATATTAAAATTGATGGATCAACATGCGCTAATATTGCGTTTATTTTTAAATTGATGGATTATCGTGTGCTAATAATGTGTTTATATAAAAGTATGGGAACCTAAATATGGCTGAAAGACGAAATGTCAAGTTTCAATATTATCGAGAAATTTCAATGAATGTTTTAAACTTGAAAGTTTGTTATTAAGCCTCAGAGCTTCTTACTTTTTTTTTGTCTTTTCAAGTATTTTTGTAATGAAAACTTGAAACCTTTCTTATCAATGACATAACCATTTTCAAAACAAGAACATCAAAACATCATGGTAAATACTGTTTACAAAACAAAACAAAAAATCCACATTAACTTCTTATAACACTTGGAAAATCGCAAATTCAAAGTTTCGCCATCCTCGAAGCACGTGTCTGAAATAAACTGAAAACACCTTCCATCAGGTTAAATAACAAAAACTACACTGATTTATCCAGCATTTAAAAATCTGTCAGATAAATATTTCGTTCGCAAGATTAAAGAAACCTTGTCAATAATGATAAAACTGATAATACAAACATTTTGAATAAACAATGAATACAATCTCAGTTTCTGACCAACACATAATAAGAAAAAAATATCAAGATCTATCATTCAATCGGACTTGACGCAGGTTTTTCTTTGGGACGGTCGGTCTACGAGTGTGGAAGTAATAAACGATTAATATTTAGAATGAATTATTTATCACAAACTTCACTATCGTTTCAACGTTAGCGGTAAATATATATTATTAGATATAATAAACAGGAGACAAATTAGTAAATTAATTTTGTTAATTTTTTAAGTAGGATACAAAATATATGATGTACATAAAGTACAATAGTACCCCTGTAAAAAATTAAGATTTTTGAAGAGATTATATAAATTTTAATGGCATACGATAAACGTTACAAATATTATATCTATACTTTTGGAGTAGTGGTCATTTATCTTTACATTACTGGCCAAAGCGTATCTGCTAAAAGTTTAGGTGTTGCTAGCCCTCGTTGGAATATTTTTTCTAAACGCATTGACATTTGTCTTAACTAATAATGGTACTTGAAACTAATTTTTAGGTTTAAAAAGAAAAATAACAGCCGGTTCAAAATTTATCAAAACAAGCAGTAAAAAATGAAGTGTTCAAAAAAAAAGGGATTATAATAAAAAGAGTCAAAAATCGACGACTAAAAAAAAATAGGTTGAGAATCAGTAATTATATTTAAAAAAAGGTCAGGAATCAGTAACTATGTGAATAAGAAAGGTCAGAAAGAGGTAAGGCACCAGAGATTATAATAAAAGAGGCCGTGAAAATAAGAACTGTCGTAAAATTGATGCCAACACCTAATAACTACAGTGAAGAAACAACGAATGATCTATAAAACAATTTGTATGATATTATTCTAAGACTTATTAAAGTTGTACATTTGATTCAGGCTGACCGCTGTCCACTTTGCCCTTTTCTGGTGTCAATTTTTCGGGAGCAGTGAAGCAGTGGTTGATACTTGAATTTTCGACTTTCTCAGAGGGCGGTTTGTTACTAGCAGCCGTCGTTATAGTTGACACTGTTTAGCTTGACGTAGACATTTCGAAATTCTCGGAGAATTTTAAAAACATCTAAATTAGACATTAGTGACCATAATGCGTATGTTGTTATCAGGTTTTCGTGAAGTTTTTCAGATTTATTATTACTTTTTGGATAAAACATATTTTTTCTATATGCATACATGAAAACGTAGAACGATCTAATCAAGTGGAATTCAAGTCAGATCTTGTGAACGTTCGAAGCATTATATAAATACTTAAGACAACAATATCAAGTTACAGTTTTGTTGCTAAGCGACGCAGACAAACGGTACGTTACCAATAACTGGTTTATGTGTAGTATATAAATAATGGTTTTCCCACATTTAATTGCTTCCACAGAAACTAGCAGTAACTTAACTGTTAGAAGATATATTTTGCTAATAATTTAAGAAAGAATTACCATTGGTTGAGAAATATAGGTACAATATTTGAAATGTTTATTATATTGTTACGACAGCGGAAGTCACGCGACGCTGGAAGCGTGCGCGCTGGAGTTTCTCGAAGGATCATGAATTATTGAGGAACCCCGCGAATGTCCGAGTGTTTGCCAGGCGCCCTCTTTTTTTAGTATATAAGCCCGGCAAATAAAGCCAGCGATAGATAGATTGAAGAGATAGATAATTGAGTCAAGCGAACAGTAGGCACCATAAGTAAAGTGTGTGAATCACTGTGCTAAGTTGCTAAGTATAAAGTGACTGTGGAAATTCTGTGTATTACAAAAAGTTGTATCAAGAAAGAATA